GGCCCACGTGTTAAAGACTTCATCTCCAGGTTGGCACTGTTGGGAGGTGGTGGAGCCTAGTGGGAGGTCTTCAGTCACTGGGGGATGTTCCCTTGAAGGGGATGGTGGGACTCCAGCTCCTCCTCTTCCTCTCTTTCACCTCCAGGTCATGAGGTGAGTGGGTTTTGTCCCACTGTGCCCTGCCTGTCCAGTGTGATGTGCTACCTTGCCAGAGGCCCAGAGAAATAGGGCCAACTTATCATGGCCTAAAACCTCCAAATCTGGGAGCCAAATTAAGCCTTTTCTCTTTATAAGTAGATTATGTCAAGTATTTGCCACAGTCCTAGAGAACTAACTCACACGTAGACCTCACCTCATCCCATCCCAATGACCAGCAAAAGGACGGACGGACTTCTGGGTCTCTTTATTGTTTCCTTCTCAAAATTTTCCTGAGAGACACAAATCAGTACACTTGACTGAAGTAGCATCTGGCACAGGGGCAAAGAGAGCATCCCAGAGGACACCCCTGGTAGTAGTACTATTTCGTGGCTAAAGTTATCAGTAAGGAAACCCGTCCATCACCCATCCATCCTTCCTGTTTGCCTTGAATGAAACAAGCTTCTCTAGACTCAATTCACCACTCTGGGCCTCTCCTAGAAGGTCCTAAGGAGACTTTGGTGTATGATACACAAGTCAGAGAGCTTTCATCGGCAAATAGCACATCTCTAAAAGTGGCTTAACAATGAGAGTTTATTATTACTTACAAGAAACACAGAGGAAGAAAATTCCACATTAATCTAATGGTTTCATGATATTGGGGCTCTGAGTCAGTTTCTCTGCTTTCTCTTGTTTTTTTTTTTTTTCCTTCTTGGTTATGAGGTGGCTGCCAGCAGTTTGGGGCATCACATATTCATACGATAATATTCAAAAGCAGAAGGAAAAGTCTTACCAGATCTCCCTGGCCCCTCCATTGGGCAATGCTGCCAACCTGTTTCACTGTTGACTTGACTTCCCCACTGGAAGCCTGGGTTCGCTCAACCCAGGTGGAGAGAACACAGCTAAGAACTAACATGGTTGTGGTACAAAACAGAACCAAGCCATGTTTAGGATATGTACAGGAGAGAACAGGAAGTGGGAAGAGGGCTGGGAAAGGCTGTGAAAATCAGCCAGAACAATGAGAGTAGTACCAGAACACAAGGTAGAAACAGCTGCTCCCATGGCTGTAGGAAAAGAATATGTCACCTTTACCCCCAGTGGAAGAGAAAAGGCAGAGTGAATGGAGGTGGAGAATAGGAGGGAAATAGGAGAATGGGGAAGGAGAGAGAAAAAAAGTCATTCCTGTGGGTATGAAGGTTAGCTTTAGCAATTGTACTTCTGTTTTCTGCTAGTTTCTGGGTTTTAGTTAACACTTTTATCAGGTTATTTTATCAGGTTTATTTTAATTGGTTTAAATACCCATGCTCTGGGCTTGGGGGTTAGTTTAATTTTTCACCACTGTAATAGGCGAATCAGATCCTCCTCTTGGGGAGTTCAAAGGTGAAATACAGAGAATTAGATAAAGTGGAAGCAAAGCTCAGGAGAATGCAGGCCACAGAGAGCAGAAGGCAGCAGAGCCTGAGAGAACCATGGGAGAAGAAGCAGTGGCCACAAGGATCCTTGGAAAATGAAGTTGTTCTCCAGTAGACATGGAGCCCTAATACTGGGGACTAGGGTGTCGTTCACAGGACACAGGCATCAGAGGAAGCTCCGCCAGTGCCTGCTACACTGGGGGAGGTGGGGGGTGGTGGGAGGAATGACACAGTACTGTCCTGGGGGTTGCTCTGCATTTAGAGAGAGGCACTCAATTTCCCACTCTATCCTTTTAAGGTCCAGACCATGTGACACATTCCTCACTTCTCTATTTCCTTATGTGTCCCTTTAAGCGGCTCTCCCTTACTTAAAGTCACCAGATAAGCCTCTTCTTTAGCACTAAAAGAGCTCATTAAGATCATCTTTGGGTACTTACTATTTGTTAACCTTCTTTGGTTTATCACGTCTCAGTTTTGATCCTGAATCAATACGAACGTGTTTCCAATGGTGAAATATGTTCCAATTCTCTATCCGTGAATGATGTGCCTGCTGGCATTTTGGTGTGTGTGCCAAGCTGGTCAAAATGTATTCATTCATGAGTTGATTCATTCATGCACACACATTCAATATACACCAAGCACCAGGTGATGAGGTCCCAAAGATGAACGAGATGGCATTAAAGTGCTTCAGTTCTACCCAGGAAAGATTGTGAAAAACTGAAACTGAGGACAAGAAAACTGTGGAGGACAACAGACTAAAAAGATATTCTCTGACATAAGGGAGGAAGAAAGGAAACAGGAGCACAAGCCATTCTGTCTCCCACTGGGGACGAGAGGAAGATGGAGAGACCATCCAGGCATGCACAGTGAGTTCCCTCTGGCACACGACAGTGCCATCCCTCAATGCCACTTGGTCTTCTCCAGGCCTGCAACTTGTCCTTGGGGATGACACGATGAAACTCCCCTGTCAGCAACCCTGAATCAGAGGCCCCTCGGCTCTGGATGCTTCTGTCATCAGAGGTCAACCTGAGGCCCAGCTCTGTCTGCCCTGGGGGAGTCTAATGATGCATAAGCAGATCACTGTCCACACTCTGGACAACAGCCACTGTGTGTTTGGATTTTAAAACTGATAAATAATGAAGGTGTGTGAGGCCAAGTGTGACTATAACAGTGTTGCAAATGACTCATCCCAGTGAGCCATCTAGCTGTGTGAGCTTTTGTGGGTCAGGAATTCAGCTCATTTCCAGGGAGAGGAAACGGAACTTCCATGTCAGATGCCAGCTTTCCTCAAAGGAGTGAGTGAGCCAAAGCATTCGATGGATGTATTTTGACCATCAAGGAGAAGGATCTGCTGCAGCTAATTGGCTGGCTGATTTGAGGCCAAAATCAAAGGCTGTATGCCAAGTTCGTTGCGTGTCACTTAAATGTTTTTTTAATTCACAAAGAAGCATCATGCAGAAGTCTAGTTGATTTGTGTGCCTTCTCAGAATCCTGTACATGACAGATGTATTCCAAGTTTAACCGTGAATGGACTTAACGATGATTTTCCTACTTCCTGCAGATGTAGCTGGACTTCACAATCAGAGAAATACTCTAAGGTCATAGTTACTATTTTCCTATTGCCAGTTGACGCTTGCTTGCTCATTGCGTGGGAACTGCTCAAAGACAGTGGCAAACCACTGGAATAATGTGTGAAATCCTTTATTCCACATTTCCCTCAACAACGCCCTTCATAGCACAAATAAAAACAATGACCCCAGATTGAACCTACCCATGAAGAAACAGCCCAGGCTAGAATAGTCCTGGTAAGAAACAGAGTCTCAACTTTTGACTCACAGGCCAAAGGTTTAAAAATAACACAGCCTAAAATCTTAATAAAATAAAGCCACCCCCCCCACAAAAAAAGGAAAACTTTTGGATAAAGGCTTTGTGAAGTATTTTAACTTTCTATGCTGACAAAATGATCCCCACTCTGGCTGAGTTAACCCTTTATGTCCCCTCATCCTAAAGGTTGACCACCTATTAAAAAAAAAATTGAAAAATAAATATACCACTTATGGTCACTTTGAAATAAATAATGTTTTTAGGGTTCTATTCTTTTGAGAAAAAATAAGAGTATTTGAAAATAAATATATAGCATGCATGAGCTTTAGGTTATGATTTCCAACCTATTTTAATGACCTGCGTCAATTTTGTTGGAATATTCACAGAATTGAAAACTTTTGAGGTTTATTGGGTTAACCTGACTCACACAAACTGCATAGCTTTGTTTCACTTCCTTCTAGAACATTGTGCATGTGGAAAAGGGTGCTTTGGGTGGGAAAACTGGCCTGCTCCTGTTTTTTTTAATATATTCTTTATGTTGACACCAGATAGTTCTGTCAGGTGGGAAAAGTTGTTGGTCTGCAGGGACAGCAGTCCCCTTTACCTCCCTGGAAGCTCTATCGATGCTCATGAGCACCTCACATAAGTCCTCAGCCATGTGTACACGTGGGGGTCATCAAGTTTCTGGAAAACAAGTTGCAGGAAAAGCAACCCACAGCCCACCAAACAGATATTCCAACTGATTCTACAAAAGCTCTTACCAGGCTTAGCTCCGTGGTAGAATGCTGCTGAGCATCAGCAAGGTCTTGGGTTCCATCCCCAGCACCACAAAACAATCAAACAAAAAATCTCTTGTCCTTTGCCTCACACCACCACCTCCCAGTGCATGGTCCAGAGAGCCTGGCCTCAGGAGGGACTCGGTAAGTGTTGAAAGAGAGACTGCCAACCGCATGGCCTCGTTCACAGGTGCCACCCTGGCCCATTTTTCCCTTCATCATCCACCTCTAAGGGATACTAAAGTGCTACGGGCAGGGGGTGTCTCAGGACACTGGCCCATCTGCAGGAGTCATGGGAGAAGAAGGAAGAGAAGAGAGAGGAGTGGAAGAAGGAAGGCAGAGAGGAGAGCAGGAAGGGAGGAACGGGGAAAGAGGAATGGCCTGGAGGAGAGGCAAGGCTCCTCACTCCAAGGTGGGGCCCCTCTCCTACTCACTGACCACAGGTATCACAGGGAAGGCAGGGAAGCATTCACCATAAACAGCCTTCCACAGATAACTCATTTCATTACATCCCATCCCTATAGTCATTTTAGGAATCTATCTCACAAAGCTGCACTGGTTTTACCATCTTAACAGCATTTTTTCATTAGTCTGTTTCATTAAAAATGAATTTTCTCAAAGTCTCCCCACCAGAAGAGAGCCCTAGTATGCCAGCATTGTGTTACGCCTCTTAAAAATCCATTTCTATAAGATCAATTGTTCCCACATACTGATGTATATCCTCTGACAGAGACTGAAACCCAGACCTATTGGAGCCTTTTTTTTTTTTCCTGGTTTTTGTTGAGAGGCCACCTCCCACGTGGGCTGGCCAGGAACACAATCAGAATCTCCTGATTCAGTGCAAAGGGTAAAGGCTACAGAGACAGTAAAACTATCTCCTGAGCCCTCATCAGGGGCCAGGCACCAGGAGAAGCAGAACATGTGGGTTGGAAGCTCTGGCGTCAGTGTTCTCCCCAGACCCACCCACACCCCCAAACCCCAGCTCTGTCCCTCCTAAAGCAAGACTCAGGCTGGGCACAGCAGCACACACCTGTAAACCCAGAGGCTTGGGCGGCTGTGGCAGCAGGAGGATGGCGAGTTCAAAACCAGCCCCAGCAATTAGCGAGGTGCTAAGCAACTGAAATCTTGTCTCAAAATAAAAAATGAAAAGGGCTGGGGATGTGGCTCAGAGGTTAAGCACCCCTGGGTTCAATCCCTGGTACAAAAAAAAAAAAAGGCTCTAATACTTGTTGCAGAAGGCAGCTGCCAGGACAAGGTTCAGAGTGCCAGCCGAGTGCTTAGCCAAGGAGAAGCCTTCATTGGGTCTGAGTTCACCAAATGCTCACAGACCCAGGGGTGAGTATGAGCATGCGCGTGCTCATGTTTATTTGTTTCTTTGCTATCTTCATTGTACAGAGCAGGAAACTTAGGCTGTGGGGGGATTAGTAAACATCAGGTCCTCAGGGAGGTTAGGATTCTCACCAGATTCATTTGTCCTTTAAGCCTATGCTATCCCACACATTGTGATCTGGAAGGAGAAAAGAAAGCAGTGCGGGTCTGTATTTCCACACCAGGATTTTCTCAGCCCACATGGTGACTGGGGTATGAGGTGCCAGCAGAGCTCCTGGGCCAGACTCTCCCATAACCAGGTGGTGCTTCACTTTCTCCAGAAATTAGCACCAGCTCTATTGCTTCACACTTGGAGAACATTGTGTCATCTCTCTGAGCTTCTGACTCCTTACCTGTTAAGTGCTAGAAGTTCCCTTTAACTGTGGAGGATGCCTGCAGCTACAGATAGTACTGAATCCTGTACATCTTGGTTTTTTTTCCTGTACATACATATGATAAAGTTTAATTTATAAATTAGGTACGGTCAGAAATCAACAATGACTTACAATAAAAGAGAGTAATTATGATGATATACTGTAATAACATTCATTTAACTTATGAGTTGTTTATTTCTGGAATTTTCCATTTAGTATTTTCAGACCTCAGTCGACTATAGAAAGTGAAACCGTGGATAATAAGGGACTATTCCTCTACTCCCTGCTGTATATCATCTATAGTATTAAGGTGAAGATCAAAAGAGATAATAAATAGAAGAATCCCTTATAAAATTTGAGGTGTTGCACAAAGGAAGAGGAGCTTAGTTTTGCCCAGAAATCTCTCAGGATACTAGAAGAAGCATTTACACCCCTGATTGGCCATAGAATCTCGGATCAAATCCTCAGCACTTCCCAGGCTTCCTTCTGTATTTGGATCCTAGGCACAAGCACACCCTCCCTGGGCTATCACAAGGGTTAAATGAGAAGGACTGTGAGGGGGTCTGTAAGCCAGAAAACTCTACCCAAATATAAGATGTTATTATTCCCTTTAAGAGGAAAGTGTTCAGTTTTTCTCCTTCATCTGACTCTTATTAGTTGACTCACTCTATGTCCTTAGGGCAGGATCTCTTATCCAGAGATCTCGAATGAATTTCAGACTCTCTCTGACTTCCTCTCTCCCATGCACAAAGAAGGAAAGCAGTGGCTCTCAATGGAGTCTTAGCTGCACATCAAGCCCCTGGAATGCCTGTGTCCTATGTGATCGCACATATCACTCTGACTTCCTGAGAGCCCTTTTGGAGATAAAATATCTCTGATAAAATATTTCTGGAAGAGTGATTCTGAAATTTTTGATATAAAATAATATTTATGAAGTATTCTAGGCTTTTGGTTGAAAGTGAAACATGAAGGTCATAAATATACCATGGAGCTCATTAGGCAAGCAAGCCCCAGTCCTGGTGCCCACATCAAGTAGGTCTGTAGCTCTGGGCTCCATTCATCACACTGTCCTGTGATTATCGTGAAACCAGTGGAGAGTCCCTTTTGTGGGAGAGATGATTAAAGATGACATTTATAACTTGGAAGTACAGAAGTCCAGCCATGCTGTCAATACATAAAAAGAGCTGGGTGTATGAAAACTTAGAAAATGGTATATGACATGGGATAAAAACTATATTTGGAAAACATAGCATGTTGGCATCGGGTCCCACATTTACCATTTCCCCCAAATAAGCGGAGAAAAAGTCTTCTGCTTCCTCCATGTGAGTTGCTTGTCCTCAGGAGCCCCCAGCACTACAGAAAGGAAAGGCAGAGAGCAAAATTGACCCGGGTTTAGTCAGTTCAATCTGATGGAATCACCTCAGCATTACTACTAGTTATGTGCTCAGTTGAATTAAAATACTGGGTCTATCAGAGATGTCCTTTCTTCCGGACCTTTTCCAAGACAGAAAAAATGAGAGTATGTATTAGTCAGCTTTCCCTGACTGTAACAAAATATCTGAGATAATCAACCTAAAAGGAGGAAAGGATTATTTTTGGCTCATGGACTCAGAGGTTCGGTCCAAGGTTGGTTGGCTCCATTGCTTTTGGGCCCATGGCAAGGCAGAACACCATAGCAGGAGCATGATGAGAGTGAGCTGCTCACCACAAGGTGGTCTAGAAGCCAAAAAAAAAAAAAAAAAAAACCAAAGTGGGGGAATGGGGTACTATTATCTCCTTCAAGGGCATAACTCCTATGACCTATCTTCCTCCTGCTAGGTCCTACCTCCTGAAGGTTCCACCACCTCCCAACAGGGCCATGGGCTGGTTTATCTGTTTTCAATAAAGGCCTTAAGAGACATTCCAGATCCAAAATATAGCAGGTGGCTTATGACAGCACGTGGTATTAGGGAACTCCATCTCCCCTGGTGTCTTCCAGAGACCCCCTTGGCCATGACAGTAGAGTGGCTGATCTGATCAGAGTTACTTCTGATTTGGTGAGAAATAAATGACTGGGCCTGGCTAGATTGGGGGTAACGGGAAGATGTGCCTTCTGCAGGATTCCTCATTATTGCCTTAGTCTCTGCCATCCATGTCCCCCCCCCCAAGTTATAAGGACATGTCTGGGTGCCCTGCACACAGCTGAGGGGCCAGCACTCCCCCAGGGATGCCGTAAGAAATCATATTTGGAATTGGTAAAAACACAAAAGAGCCTTCAAAAGACCCTTCAAAAAAGAGCATCTGTGTCTTAGCAACTGTGCTGGGGAGACTGATTAGAAAGATAACATCTACAACAGACAATATCTAATCAAAGGTAGTGCCACAAGATAAGCAATGGGTGCTGAGAAGCCCTGTCCCAAATCACATTTGTGGTCCCTTTCAATCAGGAGAGAGATGAAACATGGATTTACCATCAAAGAACACAGCAAAATGAAGACACCAGATATCAGCTGCTATAATTTGTGTCTGAAATATCCCCCCATAGGCCCATGTGCTAAAAGCTTGGTCACCAGCCTCTGGTGCTATTGGAAGATGAAGGAACCTTTAGAATGCAGGACCCTAGTGAGAGGAAGATAGGTCATTAGGGGTATATCCTTGAAGGGGATGGGATCCCAGTTCCTTCCTGTGTCTCTCTTTATTTCCTGGACACCATGAGGTGAACAGGCCTCCTCTATCATGCACTCCTGCCTAGATATACTGTGCTGCAACAGGCCCAAAACAATGAGGCCAAAGGACCGAGGACTGAAACCTCTGAAACCAGAAGGCAAAAATAAACCTTTTCTCCTTTTAAGTTGATTTGCTTTTGGTATTTGTTACAGTGACAGAAAACTGACTAACACACCAGACCTTCTAGGAAGCTTTCCTCAGCAGGCTGTAGGAAGGCTCACTCCCTCCTCTCCACTTTGACAGCACTGCGCTCATTCTTTTTTTTTTTTTTTTGTCTTTTTTTGTTTGTTCATTCTAATTAGTTATAATACATGACAATAGAATGCATTTTGACACACCATACATAGAGTATAACTTCTCATTCGTCTGGTTGTACATGATGTATATAGTTACACAGGTTGTGTAATCATATATGTACATAGGGTAATAATGTCCAATTCATTCTATTATCCTTCCTACCCCCATACCCTCTTCCCTCCCTTTACTCCCCTGTCTAATCCAAAGTACCTCTATTCTTCCTTAGCTGTTCCCCCTCCCCATTGTGAATTAACATCTGTGTATCAGAGAAAACATTCGGCCTCTGGTTCTTTGGGATTGACTTATTTCACTTAGCATGATCTTCTCTAGCTCCATCCACTTACCAGAAAATGCCATAGTTTCATCCTTCTTTAAGGTTGAGTGATATTCCATTGTGTATATATACAATTTCTTTATCCATTCATCTATTGAAGAGAATCTAGGTTGGCTCCATATCTTAGCTTTTGTGAATTGTGCTCCTATAAACATTGATGTGTCTGTGTCACTGTAATATGCTGTTTTTAAGTCCTTTGGGTATAAACAGAGGAGTGGGATAATTGGGTCAATGGTGGTTCCACTCCAAGTTTTCTTAGGAATCTCCATACTGCTTTCCAGAGGGGTTGTACCAATTTGCCATCCCACCAGCAATGTATGAGTGTATACCTTTTTCCCTACCTCCTCACCAGCATTTATTGTTACTTGTATTATTGATAATTGCCATTCTGACTAGAGTGAGATGAAATCTTAGAGTAGTTTTTGATTTGCATTTCTCTAATTGCTAGAGATGTTGAACATGTTTTCATATATTTGTTGTTCAATTGTATTTCTTCTTCTGTGAAGTGTCTGTTCAGTTCCTTAGCCCATTTATTATTTAGGTTATTTGTTTTTTGGGTGTTGATATTTTTTAGTTCTTCATATATCCTGAAGATTAATGCTCTGAGTTGCGAGTGGTAAAGATTTTCTCCCATTCTTTAGGCTCTCTCTTCACATTATTGTTTCCTTTACTGTGAAGAAGCTTTTTAGTTTGATGCCATCCATTTATTCATTCTTGGGTTTTATTTCTTGCACTTTAGAAGTCTTGTTAAGGAAGTCAGTTCCTAAGCTGACCTGGTGACGATTTGGGCCTACTTTTGTTCTAATAGGCACAGTGTCTCTGGTTTAATTCCTAGGTCCTTGATTCAGTTTAAACTGGATTTTTGTGCATGGTGAGAGAGGGGTTTAATTTCATTTTGCTACATATGAATTTCCAGTTTTCCCAGCACCATTTGTTGAAAAGGCTATTTTTTCTCCAGTGTATGTTTTTGGTGCCTTTGGCTGGTATGAGATAACTTTACTTATGTGGGTTGTCTCTGTATCTTCTATTCTGTACCACTGGTCTACGAAACTATTTTGGTGCCAATACCGGGCTCATTCTTTCAGTACCAATACTCATGTGCCCCCAGGCACCACATACCCAGCTAAAGCAGTTTATACAAGTGATCACTGTTATTACTTTATTGAAATTATAAATTATTTCTGAGTAGAGAATCCTCCCAGGACCAGAGGAAGGAAACCCACTCCCCCAGCAATTGCTGAGTCAGGGAACAGCCAGGCTAAGAGTTCTTGTCTACCCACTGCTGTTCATGCTGGTCACCTTCATGTCTTTCCTCTGGTTATCTATTGCAGTGTAAGCACAAAGACTTCCTCCTGGAGAGAATTTTAGTGACCTCCTCTAGGCCTTGTTTTTAGTGAGGCCTTGTCCTGGACTCTATCACTGGCCTGTCAATTATAGCAAAGCATTCTGCTAAGCTAGTTCTCCTTTTTTTTTTCGTTTTACTTTTCTCTTTCTTTTTTCTTTTCTTTCTTTTTGTGCTAGAGATCAAACCCAGGGCCTCATGCATGCTAAATGTTGCACTCTTTCACTGAGCTATATTCCTGCCCTTCTAAGCTACTTTATTGAGAATTTACTGTCTTTGATATACAATCAAGCTCCTTTTCCTCCTCACCTTGTTAGCCTTGTTAGCTAACCTAGTTTCTCTTGATAATTGCCCATTCATCCTATAGGTTGGCCATAAATCCTCACTTGTCCCTGCTGTATTCAAAATTAAGTTCAATCCCTCCACTCAATTTCAAGATCCTTGACCTCAAATCCAAGAACGTTAAATAAAGACTTTCTTGACATTTTTAACAAATGTCAGAATAATTTCTCCTTAACAGTTTCAAGACTATCCTGAAACTCAGTCACTGGAAACCACAGTTTGATTTTGCTCAGAGTTGCGAGGGGTCCAATGAGCAGTCGATCTCTGACTCATGGATGTCAGCTAGGAACTGGGACTAGAGGAGCCACTCCCACAATGGCCTCTTCCCTCCCAGGCTTTCCTGCCTATCCCTGTCTACCTGGCAGCTCACCTCAGGTCCTCTCCTTGTATTTGGGCTTCTGCAGCATGGTGGGCTCAGGCATTCTCTAAACTTCTTCCATGGCAGCTGGCATTTCTGAGTGAGTGACCCAGGAAAGCCTGAAGAAGCTATGGAGTTTCTAGTGACCTAGACCTGGAAGTTCCGCATGTCATTTCTGCCATATGCTATAGGTCAAGCAAGACACTAAGGTCAGCCCAGACTCAAGGAAATGAGATGAATGTACTCTGCTCTCAAAAGGGAAGTGGTTGGCTTGCCCAGGAAAGTAAGGGATTGACGGGAACATCGTAGGGACCAGCTACCCTGCCACTCTGAGAACCTTGCCTTCTTTCTGACTTACAGTCTAAACTTCACAGACATTTTATATTTTTTATAGTAGATGAATTTCTGTCTTAATCTGTTCAATATTGCTAAAACAAAATACCAGAGCCTCGGCAATTTATAAAAACAGAATTAGCTGAGCAACTGCATGCCTATAATCCCGGAACTCAGAAGGCTGAGGCAGGATGATCACAAATTTAAGTACAGCCCCAGCAACTTAGCAAGACCCTGTCTCAAAAAAAAAAAAAAAAAAAAAAAAAATGAGGATGTAGCTCTGTGGTAGAGTGCCCCAAGTTCAATCCCCAGTACCACAAAAGCCTGAAGAAGCTATCGAGTTTCATAATAAACACATAAATAAACACATTTATTTAGCTCATAGGTCTACTAGGAAGCCCAAGAGCACGGTACTAGGTTGCTGCATCACAACATGGCAGAAGGCATCCTATGGTGAGACAAAGCAAGCATGCCAGTTTACGGCTCTTCCATGACTTTTTAGGAAGCCACTAATGCCATCATAGGGGCCCCACTCTCATGATCTCATCTGGGATGGATTCAGTAACTTACCTACAAAAGGCAGAATTTGAAAAGGAGAGAAAAAGCAACTGAACAGTGGAGAAACCTGAGGAGCACTACCTCAGCCAGGTGATCAAGGTCCAAAAGCATAAGTCATGTTGATAGAGGTACTATTTGGGTTTTTTTAAAATTATAAATAGACACAATACCTTTATCTTATTTGTTTATTTTTTTAATGTGGTGCTGAGGATCAAACCCAGTGCCTCACGTGTCCTAAACAAGCGCTCTACCGCTGAGCTACAACCCCAGCCCAGCATGTAGTTTTGACATGGTGAGAGGTCTTCCCCACAAGAACTCATAACCCCAGTTGTATCACAACACAAACATCAGACAAATCCAATGGAGAGAGAGTCTTCAAAATTCCTGACCAGTACTCCTCAAAGCTGTCAAGGTCATTTGAAGCAAGGAAAGATTGAGAAATACTTGAGAAATACTCAGCCCAAAGGAGGACATGATGCTTACATGGGATCTTAGAATGGAAAAAGAACAGTAGTAAAAAAACTAATGAGATGTGATTTAAAGTATATATTTTAGTTAATAACAGTGCACCAATGTTAGTTGTGACAAATGTGCCATAATAATGTAAGATGATAACAGTAAGGGAAATGAGGTATGAAGTATACGGAATTCTCTAAGGCATCTTTGCAACCCTTGGTAAACCTAACACTATTCTAGAATTTAAAAATTACTTAGAAGCAGGGAATATAGTTCAGTGGACTATATCCTCTGAACACTTGTCTAGTATGGAGGATGCTCTGGGTCTCATGTTCAGCACCACTCCAAAAAAAAAAAAAAAATTATCTAAAATGTCAGGTAAGTCTAAGCTAAAACAATATTAAGTCATTTACAGAAGACTAACGAATAGAAAATGGGGGTGGGGTGGAGACTAAGCCTAATGACACCTGAATCTTAATGCTTCAAACAGCAGTTAAGATGACAAATGGAATCAAAAGCAGATAATGACTTTTACCAAATTATAATTACCTCTGACTTGGGATTTAGGATTTTGAAATAATCAGTGACTATACTGGAGTCATTAATTATAAAAGATTAACTAGACAGTGATTCAATTTACATGTGGAGTTTCAAATTTTACTCCCTTTTCTTCTGGGTAATCCCAGTTGAATACGTTTCTGAATTGTAAATTGCATTGGCAATGATAGTAAAGGAGTTTGAATCAGATTGTCCTCCGGTACAACACCACATTCGTGAAAGGATGATAAGTCAGTAGAGTCTTCTGTTTTGCATTCGGGCTGCCTGATGAACCCACCGCCAGCAGCAACTAATCCCAGATGCTGAGAGCTTTGCAGGGGATTTAGAGTTCTAGAGTTTAACTCCCAATGTGCTGGTGAAGATGATGCTGATACTGGTAAGCAGCGGCCACATTTTCCCACAGCTGTTTCTCAGTGGAGATGGCCCTTGGAGGCTCACTTGACCTGGCAACGGGGTTGTCAGCTTCCAATTATGCTGCCATCTGAGTGGCAGCTCAGTGGGAAACCCAGAGGAGCACAATGCAGGCCCGCCGTCTTCAAGGCCGACTCAGTAATAATTGTAGCTCTTTTCCCAGACCACGGGACGGGTACTGTGAAATGGCCCTTATTTCCTGCATCCTACTGTTTCATTTCCCATTGCTGTCCTTTTCAATAAGCCAGCATTCATACATGCAAAGTGGTAATGGCATGGTCTCGATGGCGTATTTGATTTTGTCTTTCTAAGGGAGACAAATGTCCTTTTCATCACATTCTAGTGCTACACTCGAGAAAGAAGCTGGCAAGGAAGGTTACATATGTGGTAAGGGTGTGAAGTTTTATTCTGAGGGCTCTGGGAAGTTGTTGAAAGGTGCAGCCATGCAAACAAAGACGGTGTGCTGGGGAATTCAAGAGACCTGCCTAGAATAGTGGGGGTAGGGGAAGGAGTTTAGTGCCTCTGTCAGTGCCCTCATAATTTTTAATGACATAGCCGAACACTGGGATCAAAAGAAACAATTTCCCAAAGTCTTGGTCTCCAAAGAAGGTTATTTTCTTGGGAATCCCACCATATGATGGAACTGAATTTGGGGCAGGAAATCTTGGACTTCTGAGACATGGGGAAGCATTTTGTCATTTAATCAAATAATAAATATTTATTCTGTACTAGCAATGTGCTAGGTAGGCACTGTGCTGGGTACCAGGAGTCATATGATGAGTAAGAATCAGCCCCCACCCTCCAGACGCTTACAGCCCAATGCTGCAGAGAGGCAGTGGATAAATGGACACTGGCTAAGAAAATCAGCTGCAACTGCATAAGGCTTTTTGTAAGTTTTAAATACTCACCCCAAGTTTAAATATCAAAGAATTTGATACCAAGTTCTCTCTGGATTGAGATCTTTTCAACATCTGTAAAGTGTATATGATTTAAGAACTACTTTTTCTATTGACATGAATGAATTTACAAAGTTCAATTAACATCCACTCAGAGGCCTGAAAAGTTGGGACATTGACAAAGTTGCATTTGGTGGCCTCCTGCTCATCTTTCTATATCATTTATGCTCATTAGAATTCCCAAATCACTCATTCTCTCTCTCCCACTCCATACTCTCAAGAAAGAATCTGAAACTTACCTACACTGAGATCTAAGGAACTAATGAATCTCAAAGTGTGTTCTGATGAGGGCAAGTTTCTGTCTTGGTTTTGGCCTAAGTACCACTATATTCCATTGTAGATTGTTTATATATATATATATATATATATATATATATATATATATATATATATATATATATATATATATAAGAATTCATGAGTCAGACACAGTGGCACATACATGTAATCTCAGCTACTCAGGAGGCTGAGGCAGAAGGATACCAAGTTCAAGGCCAGCACTAGTGATTCTGTGAGATCTTGCCTCAAAATAAAAAATAAAAAGGGTTGGAAATGTAGCTCACTGGTAGAGTACTTCTGGATTCAATCCCCAGTATCACCATAAATAAAGTAAGATTGCCCAAAGGAAAAGAACAAGTGGATTTAGGCAGACTGAACAGAAGCATTCTGCTACTGCAAGTTAAGTTCATTAAGTAATCAACAAACGAACTAAAAAAAAAGATATTATAATAACAAAAATTTAATATGGCATGCTCTCAGGAACAAGGATCATCCATTCTGAGAGGATACCTTGCAACCTGATCTCCTCACACGGGAACTCACTGCACTGTACTTCTTTTCATTTTACCAGAGACTGGGAGAGCTTTACCTTGACCTGAGGCCAACAGAGACTCACATGGACTACTGAGACATTGCGAAGCATTTTGTCATTTAATCAAATAATAAATATTTATTCTGTACTAGCAATCTGAAATCTGAACCATGGAGCTGGAAAGTTGACCCTAGTGACAGAAGCCCTCTCTCTTTCCCTGGAAAGATAGAAAGTGTGAGGTGGAAGCGATGGAACTTTGCATCTGTGTATGTGTTTCTCTTTTCTTCTCTGATCTGCAATGCCTGTTCCTATAAAGATAAGGACTATCAAACCCATAATCTCCTAGCTGCCTTTGCTCAGAAAGAGGGTGGTTGCACCTCTCTGTACTTTTTCCTTCCATTGCCTCATACGATGCATCTCTTGCCAGTGATCAATAAACTCTTGATTTCTTTTTTCAAAAAGGAACACTTAAAGGTCTTAAATTATTCAACTTGCACCAATTAACATTGACTCCTTAGGTAATTCTTTTCTCAGGCAACCCTTCAAACAGCATAAAGATTGTGCTGCAGGCTTCTTACTCACACATGCCCAACCCCATTCACACACCTGCTCTTCAGCCCTCCCAGACCCTCCATGGGTAGGTTTTGTGTGATACTTTCCAGAGTGGGGAAGAAGACAAAGGCACAGTCAATGGCAATAATAGTATTTTCTTACAGTTCCACCTCTTAATTATAAAAAGCTCATTGTTTCAGACCAAGTAAAATATGCAGCAGTTTGCTGATAGAGTAATAAGGGAGCAATTTTTTGATATTTGTCTTGAATTCACTTTGCTGATTATCAAATGAAATTCTTTTCCCATTGATTATCTGATGTTTTTTAGGTATACAAAAATATTGGACATTTTCATCTTTCAATTTCTTTTTTATTTTAAATAAATTGTTTCTTTTAAATAATTATGCTTTTTATTTCAAGTTGGCATTCAATTGCATCTTGTAGAACTTCCAGCCAACAGTAAATAGTAATAGTGATAGCAGACATCTTTGGGTTTTCCCTCCAATTTTATAGAACTACATCTATGATTTCACACTAAGTGATTTGTTTAATAGCATTATATATTTTTTTCCAAATGTGCACCTTCATATCCTTAGAATTTTAAAGATTTTTCTGATCCTGATAGTCTTGACAAGAGCCCTAAACTTCATAAATACCTCTTTAGGCTCTACTAAAATGAATTTTACACTTTTTATTAATTTGATCTGTTAACATATTTTAAACCAGTAATCTTACATTCCTGTAAAAGGTCCTACATGACTATAGTCAATTATTCTTTAAAAGTACTGTTAAGGGGCTGAGGTTGTGGCTCAGCTAGCACACACGAGGCCCCGGGTTCAATCCTCAGCACCACATAAAAATAAATAAATAAAGGTATTGTGTAAAAAAAAAAAAAAAAAAAGTACTGTTAAATTTAAATTGTAACTTACATAAGATTTTACCTCTGTGTTAAATGATGAGGCTGAAGACAGTGTTCTATCCTAGAATTTTGTGGAAAAAAGTCTATCAAAAATTTAAAATTTGTTTATTACTTGTCTACTCAAGTTTCTCATGTCAGTTAATGTTTTTCTATTTATTAGCATTATTTGTTTTGTAATCTTTTAAAACTATTCTATACTTATTCATTTCTCCCTTTGTTCAATCAATATTGAGTGTGTTTGACTTTTTGGTTTCCACTCATAATAAAGTATCTGTATAGAAATGTCACATTTTAGGGGCTTAATCACTGTGCCTGGGGCTGATTTTGCTGCTGGCAGCAGAGTCATGAATATGGCTGGAAAAGTCCAATTCTAATAGAGTTTATTTACATCCTAGTTGTGGAGGGTGCCATAGAAGAAGTAAACAAATTGATTGTTAAAATTTAAATTGAGACCAGTGAGTGTGGCTGCCTGAGATGAGGTAGTCAGAGGTAAGTTCTCCAAGAAGACAAGAGCTGATCTTTGCAGGGAAACAGGCTGGCCATGATTGGGGACCAACATTCTCAGATTGGGAGAGCAGTCAGTGCCATTGCTCCAAAGCCAATGCAAGCATGGCAGGTTACAGAACAAAAAAGGCAGGAAGAAAGGGGAGGAAGGTGTCATGGTTTGGATATGAGGTGTATCCACAAAGTGCTGTGTTAATGCAAGAACTTTCAGAGGTGAAAGGACTGGATGAGAGTTGTAACCTTATTAGTGCATTCTAGTTTGACTGTACTAACTGTAGGTAGGTGAGACGTGGCTGGAGAAAGTAGGTCACTGGGGATGTGCACAGGAAAGAGGTTCATGTTCCCTGTGGTCCCTTTCTCTCTCCTTCCATCCTTCTCTCTCCCTCCCTCTCCTCCTTCTTTGCTACCATGAGGTGGGCACCTTTTTTTCCACCACACACTCACCATGATATTTTTGCCTTACTTCAGGCCCAAACCAATGGAATTGGCCAACCATGGGCTGAACCTCTGAAACTGTATGTTCTAATTGTCTCCTCTAGTTGTTTTTGTCAGGTGTTTTGGTCACAGGAACACAAAGCTGACTTATACAGAATGCCATAAAGGAAACCAGGAAGGAAGGCACAAGAAAAATCACAAATGCCTTCAGGCTACGGTTAGATGCTGGATGTTTTCAAAAGGTAATAGGAAAATACTGGAGAATTTTATGCAAGGAGAGGAAGGATCCAAAGTCCACTATATGTTGAGTCTGGCTACTACATGAAGTCTTAGTCCATTTGGGCTGCTAAACAGAGTACCTTAGATGGGTGATTTATAAACAAAAGAAATGTATTGCTCATAATTCTGGAGGCTGGGAAGACCAGTAGGTCTGATAAAGGTTTTTCTCCATGGATGGTGGTTTCCTTGTGTCTTCACATGGTGGCAGTGTTGGAACTCATTCAGGCCTCTTTTATAAGGGCACTAATCCCATTCATGGGGTTAGAGCCCACACGACATAATCACTTCTCAAAGGTAGCGCCTCTTAATACTGTCACAGCAGGTATTTGGTTCCATCATATAGCTCTGGAGGGGATATCAACACTCAGACCAGCAGGCAAGGAACAGGACAGGCAGCTGGGAGACTACTTTAAGAGGTTCTGTGGGGGCTGGGGATATGGCTCAAGCAGTAATGCGCTTGCCTGGCATGTGCAGGGCGCTGGGTTCGATCCTCAGCACCACATAAAAATAAAATAAAGATATTGTGTCCACCGAAAACTGAAAAATGAATATTAAAAAAATTCTCCTCTCTTTAAAGAAAAAAAAAAGAAGAGGTTCTGTGGTCACCTGGGCAAGAGATGACAGTGCTGCCACATCACTTTTCTCATTTTGTTTCCATTGTCTTTCTCCCCATTGAGTAGGTACTCTGAAAGTTTGCCTATTTGATTAATTTTTATCTGAGAAACAGGTTTTGAGTTCTTGATTTATTCTTCTAATGTTTTCCTTGCAATAATTTAGTAGTGGTGTTTTACCTCTACAGTTACTTCCTGTCTATTCTTTGCTTTTTGTTGGTTATGCTTATTTCTGATTCTTTTTTTTAATACCTTTATTTATTTATTTATTTTTATGTGGTGTTGAGAATCGAACCCAGGGCCTTGTACATGCAAGGTGAGCGCTCTACCGTTGAGCCATAACCCCAGCTCCTAATTCTTTTTTTTTAAGTATTTATTTTTTAGTTGTAGTTAGTGACAATAACTTTTTTTATTTATATGTGGTGATGAGGATCAAACCCAGGGTCTCGCATGTGCTAGGCGAGCACTGTACCACTGAGCACAACCCCAGCCCCTTATTTATGATTCTTATGTTTAGCTCATTTGTTTGATGCTTTCTTTAAAATAAAAATAATTAGATATCTTAATATATCCTATAAATCCAATAAGTAGCAAAACCTTAGTTTCACCAGACATCAACAGTTGGAGTGCTAATTGCCTCATACCAATGACCCAAATCTTGCTGAGTCCACCAGGTCCCACAGGGACAATTAAAATTCTTAAAAATTCTTTGTTTGAGGAACTTCCCACAATAAAAGCAGAACTTTCTTACCCTATGTTAAGTGAAAATCTCAGATAATTTACCAACTCCCTTTGTGCTGGGTTATGGACCCTTGACCTTCAGTTAGAGGCCAGGGACAATAACAGCCAGTGGCCATCCACAATCCTCCTGGAACGGGAAGCAGAAGAGGGCCAAAGCTACACATAGTAGCAAAGGAGTTTGTAATACTTGGAGGTCAAAAGCAGAGAAAGTTCCACGAAAGAGGGGCAGCTACATATGTCACACTTTCTAAATTCCAGATAAGTGGAGCAATGAAAACTGGCCATAGGAAGTAACACAGGAAGAGGATGAAGGTGCTTTTTCCAATGGCATCTCTATCTTCTTAGTGGACAGTGAAAGAAGGCCATCACTTGGGAGGAAGGAGGCAGGAGGCAGGAGAGAGGTTGAAGGTTGGAGATAAAGAATGCCCACCAGCTACTGAGTCGGAGGCCTTTTGAGATTTCTTGAACATTTACAAACTTTTCCAACATTTAAAAAATTTTACAGCAGTAAAATCCTTGCATGCATATTTGTTTCAGAGAATGCAAGAATAAATGTTAGAAAAACTGCATCCTACTCTGGAGCCAGTAATAGCAGGTAGAAGACCTAGATGGCTGGAAAGAATCACCACAGCCCAGAGTCTGCAGAGTGAAATACAGGATTTGCTCAGGTAGACATGCTGAGCAGGTGACAAGTGCTGAGCATTGACAGTCCAGCAGGGATTGTGTGAACCTTGTATCTTATGTTCTCTGTGTGTGGCTTTATTTCTATGAGGAAAACTGGACTTAATGTTTGAAATTCACTAATGTGGGATATAAAGATATCTCTCCCCCCTCTACACACACACACACACACACACACACACACACACACACACACACCCATTCTCCAATATATCCCTATAATTGCAAAAGACTACTGAACTAGTGGAGACTGTAATACTTTTGCTTTCACTGAATAAAACATGTCTTCTGCCTTCTGCCTAGTGAGTACATTTGTAGTGTTCTTCATCAGGGACCTCCACTTCACCCTGTAGTCTAAATGCTTATCTTTAATATACTCCTATTCTAGTGGGTGAATTGGAAGAAGTGCATAAATATTTGACATCGCTAAAAGCAGGCTTTTCCTGTCCAAACAACTGCACTTTACCACCAAAAATGAGTCTCAGACTCTAGAAAGCTTCCGTTTTAGCCAATACCTCCCTGACAAAGGCTTTTTGATGACATTCACCTTTAAAAAAATGATGGGCTGGGGATGTGGCTCAAGCGGTAGCGCACTTGCCTGGCATGCGTGAGGCCTGGGTTCGATCCTCAGCACCACATACAAACAAAGATGTTGTGTCCGCCGAAAACTAAAAAAATAAATATTAAAAAAAAATTCTCTCTCGCTAAAAAAAAAAAAAAAAATGAGAGATCTTCCACACATG